TTTATATGCCTGCCTCATTCTATAGTGTGAATTCTTTTAACACAGTACTTAAATCCTACATATCTTTTTAAGCACCTTCCACAGCATTTAGCACGCAGCCATTTAATAATTTGGATATCTCCAGGGAATCCTTGTTTTTTGCATTCCACGTGTGGGAGACAAAGGAACTCAAAGCAAACAGACCTTATTCTTCTAAGGTATAAGAATATATATATTTTAAAGGATCACTGCCCATTTATTATGTAAATTCACACAAACTCACAAACTCATATGGGATACAAAGACCTGGAACTTCATTAAAAATATAAGTAAAAATAGGTGAAGAGGATTAAGAGGTTATTATTTTAAAAAAGTCAAAAAGTTAATATACAGCCTTGGGAATACAGTCAATAATAAATAACTTCGTCTGGGGACAGATGGTAACGAGGCCTATCATGCAAATCATTTCATAGTGTATAAAAATATTGGATCACTATGATGTGTGCCTGAAACTAATAGGATATTGTATGTCAAGTATGCCTCAGTAAAATTAATTACTTGATTGATTAAAGGCATGCACTCAGGGGACATCTCCCTGGTTAAAAACTTGTCAACCAAACACATCTCTGTTTTTATGGCCTGATTTCATAGAATGCACAGATCTTCCAGCACAACATTTTTATTTATACAGGAAGAATTTATATACAACAGCAATTCAGCCTGACCTTGTAGACTAAGCATGCAAAAAACTCAGGTGACATTCTGAGTGTGGTGGGAAGGAGCTCAGAAGGGCGACAGCGGCTTTGAAGAGAGCACAAGGTGTCACCAATGGCACGAGCCAGAATGAGGGAATTCATAAACCCAAGCTCTGGGGCGTTAGCAAAGCTCCATTTGGCACTTTTTCATGCTAAAATGTCAATCACCTCCTCTGAATGATTACTGTCATCTTACTGTTCAGGGGTCTGTAGTTGCACCAAAATGGTGATGATTCCACCCACATTGCTTTGAGTTTGAGTTTGACACTATCTGAAACTGTGGCTTCATCCCTCCACTCACCTACGCCTTCAGTTTTCACAACTATGAACAAAAAATTACTCTAGATTGATCTTTTGCAACAGTCCTTATTTTCTCCTTTGCCCCACTTTTCTGATAATTCTGCATGTATTACATCTCGGTTTATTGTAGGCACTTCTGAACAGGCTCAGACAAGTGACTGCTGAAACAAACACACATTTGAAAGCAAAGAAAACGGGACATTCTGCCAGTTCTTAGGGACTCAGGGCCTCCTGGGGAACTGTCATTCTACCTGCCCATTCTCTACAAGGACGTGCCTGCTTCACAACAGTGTTTTGGATCCGAAACCAGTAAGTAGGATAAAACAAGAAGTTTGTACTTCTGGATACAAACTTCAGTTTGAGAAACATTTGCACACACATTGTCACATTTTAGGGCCACATGACCCATGAGGTAGACGCCAGGCAGTATTATGTCCATTACATAGAAGTGAAAATGTATCTGAGTGACTTCCCTGGGGGTAAAACATCAAAGAAGGTGGGAAATTTGGGGCTCAGAAAGATTCCCATGCATCAGGCACTGCTTCCATGAAATTACAAGGATGGATGGGGCATTGTTCCTTCCTCTAAGGAACTCACCATCGGGGGGGCGGGAGGGTGCAGGGCAGTGTGACCAGGGCCCGCCAGTGACACAGACAGGGTGCTGTCTTGCCAATGGGTTTCAGCCCCATCAAGTTCACTATGAATTCAATGAGACCAAAGAAATGACAGTGGAATGTTCTTGGGGTGAAAGGGTTTATACCCAACTTTATTCCCACAGTGGCAGGTCAATCACTAGGATCCTGTCCACTCAGAGCAGATCTGCGGGCAGCAAGCCGGTCTCTGCCTCTAGGCCTCTCTGCCCCCGCAGCCATCTCAGTCTCTGTCCTCAGAGCTGCTACCACTCCAACCTCTGCCCTCCTGCAGACTTGCAGCCCTGCAGCCCTGCAGCAGCCCAGAGCACTGGGTGGAGCTCTTTATATAGAATCAGTAACAACATAGTGCCCACATGTGTGTAGTGAGCAAGCAGACCAGGGCCAGGTGAGAATCCTGGCCACAGAAACCTTCATTTTATGTACACCCCACCCCTCCAGGATTCTCACCTCTCCATCTATGTGCCCCCAATCCTCTGCAATGGTCCCTGTGCAAGGAAGCTGGAACATTGCAACCAAATTCCATACAAAGAACAAATCATGACAAATTATAATAACCCACCAAGTGGTCATCCTGGCTGTATTCAAACCAATTCTACTCAGACGAGTTAACCAAACAGACCCACCTTCTCCAGCCCCTCCAGCAGGAAGTCCTGCAGACCCTCAGGCCAGTCTCGTTGCTTTGTCTCTGGCTCTGCTTCATCCTCAGTGGCCGGAACCACTGCTCCGAGCTCAGTTGTTGCCACAGCTCCAGTAAGAATCTATTTGATTCTCCATCCAGTTTCTCTCTGTCGGCTCCTGCGTTCATCAAATCAACCCACATCTGGGTCCTTGTGACCTTCGTGGGGGCCCTTTAAATTCTTCCTTTGAGTAGCAGACCATATTTCCTTTCGTGCTTTAATTGCTTGAGCCTGAGGATAGGAGCAGAGCACAGAGCGCTCCACCACCTGGGGAGGGGCTGCACCTCTCCTGGAAGAACCTGTGGTTGCTGACTCTTTATTTTCCTTCAGGCTTTCCACCAACTTTCAACCGGTGGGGTCTCAACTCAGGAGGGGCCGATGCCTACCCCCAACTGTTCGTCAAACCTCCGCTCCTCCATTTCCAGGGCTGACGGCTCCACTACACCCTCCACCTGCCCCAGGGCACCTGGCAGCCTGCACGCTGCTGCTTCTTGGGCTCCGTCCTCCACCTGCCCCAGGGCACCTGGCAGCCTGTCTGCTGCTCCTTCTCGTGCTGCTTCCTCTCGGGCTACCCCGACATCCTTTACCATCTCCACAGCACCTCGTCGTGATGCCATTTCACTCACCAACAAATTTTTTACCTCCTCAATGGCACCTCGCAGCTCACATGCTCGTGCTGCCTCTCCTCGTACTCCCTGCAGGAAGGTGCCCTTCTCCCCTACAGCCTCTTTCAATATTGTGAGAAGAAAACTCCCCACCATCCCACGGCCCCATGGGCACTCTGTTTCTCTAAGGAATTCCCTATTTTGCTGAGCACCAACTTTACTGCCTTAGGCATCACCTCCACCCCCAGCCTTGGAGTGGGGCCCAGTCCTGTAGGAGGCAAGCCGCGTCAGACCACACGTCCACTGGGGGCCACTCCGAGGTCTCCCCATCCACAGGGGCAGCCTGCTGAAGCACCCCCACACACAAGGGCAGACTGTTCTATTCCTTGGTCACCAGTGAATCCTGATGACTATTGTTAATTCTCTTGTCAATGGGTTTCAGCCCCAGGCAAGTTCACTATGAATTCAATGAGCCCAAAGAAATGACAGTGGAATGTTCTTGGGGTGAAAGGGTTTACACCCAACTTTATTTCCACGGTGGCAGGTCAGTCACTAGAATCCTCTCCACTCAGAGCAAGTGTGCAGGCAGCAAGCCCGCCTCTGTCTCTGGGCCTCTCTGCCCGCACAGCCATCTCAGTCTCTGTTCCCCTGCAGCCTTGCAGCTGTGCAAGAGACATGCCACCATGTTGCCCAGAGCACTGGGTGGAGCTCTTTATACAGAGTCAATAACAACGTGTTGCCCACATGTGTGTAGTGAGCCAGCCCACCAGGGCCAGGTGAGAACTTTCACCTTATCCACAGGTGCTCAGGAACAGGAGCAGCTGACCACCACCAGAGCAGATGGGGGATGGCTTTGTGAGGCCAGATCTGGGTTGCTCCTGTGAAGAACAAGAGCTCTGCAGACCAGGGAAAGGGGGAAGGACGGGAGGAAGTGGCTCCCCAGGAGAAGGTGTGCGCCCAGGTCTGGGTCATCAAAGCGGGGAAGCATGTGCGTGGGCAGGCTTGCTGGGAGACACAGGCGGGCTGGATGATGGAGGCACTGTTTTGACTGTCTTCTTGTTAAGGGGGGCCCCTGACAGGTTGGTCCAGGAGAAATACAGGATCCAATTTGAGTCTGGAGCTACATTTTGACAGTAGAGAGGAGATGGACTTCTAAGGAAAGATAGTTTTGACAAGAAGCCCAAGCAGAAGATGATTACAGTCTAAAACTAAGGCAGGGAAAGGGTCGATGGGGGGTGATGTTGGGGAGGTCATGATATAGGGAAGGAAAATAGAGGGTCTGGTCGTTATTTGGTAGAGGTGATGACTGAGAGGTGATGACTGATGGAATCAGGGAGGATGCCAGGTGTTCAGCTCATCAGTGTGGGAACGTGGTGATAATTTCAGTACAAGAAGCAAGCAAGCAAATGGGTCAGGGAGGAGGTAACGCATCAGCTTCGAGCAACTCTAGGGCACTGAGGCTTTGGTGTATTCAAGTGGAATGAGTGGGGTGTGAGCAGGAGATGCAGAATCAAGGCTAAGTGAAGCACACCCCGAGGAACGGATGAGATGAGGCACGGAGAGAACACAGGGTGAGAGACGGCGGGTGGTAAGGGCCCTGGGTCACCTTCACTTAAGGGGCAGGAAGAAAGGAAGCTAACAGTACACAGAGCTGGGCAGGAACAGGAGCGAGCCAGGCCACATAAGCTGAGAGAGGCTGCGGGAGGGGGGCAGGAGGAGGAGGTGGCCATGGCACCGGAAGGCAGGGTGTCCTTACCGCCAGCTGTGCCCCTCAGGGGTGGGGGCTGCAAGCAGTGTGCAGGGGCCAGGGGTGAACGCAAATAGCTGGAGGTGAGGAGACTCTTGGCTGTGAAAGAAAGGAGGGAGACGGATGCAACTCCCGGAGAACAAGTTTCCTCCTGCAGGAGTGAGATCCCACCAAGTTGGGAAAGTGAGGGGAGCCAGACGGTGGTGGAGACAAAGAAACTGAAGATCCGGGCTCTGAGCAGCCCAGAGCACTGGGTGGAGCTCTTTATACAGAGTCAATAACAACGTGTTGCCCACATGTGTGTAGTGAGCCAGCCCACCAGGGCCAGGTGAGAACTTTCACCTTATCCACAGGTGCTCAGGAACAGGAGCAGCTGACCACCACCAGAGCAGATGGGGGATGGCTTTGTGAGGCCAGATCTGGGTCGCTCCTGTGAAGAACAAGAGCTCTGCAGACCAGGGAAAGGGGGAAGGACGGGAGGAAGTGGCTCCCCAGGAGAAGGTGTGCGCCCAGGTCTGGGTCATCAAAGCGGGGAAGCATGTGCGTGGGCAGGCTTGCTGGGAGACACAGGCGGGCTGGATGATGGAGGCACTGTTTTGACTGTCTTCTTGTTAAGGGGGGCCCCTGACAGGTTGGTCCAGGAGAAATACAGGATCCAATTTGAGTCTGGAGCTACATTTTGACAGTAGAGAGGAGATGGACTTCTAAGGAAAGATAGTTTTGACAAGAAGCCCAAGCAGAAGATGATTACAGTCTAAAACTAAGGCAGGGAAAGGGTCGATGGGGGGTGATGTTGGGGAGGTCATGATATAGGGAAGGAAAATAGAGGGTCTGGTCGTTATTTGGTAGAGGTGATGACTGAGAGGTGATGACTGATGGAATCAGGGAGGATGCCAGGTGTTCAGCTCATCAGTGTGGGAACGTGGTGATAATTTCAGTACAAGAAGCAAGCAAGCAAATGGGTCAGGGAGGAGGTAACGCATCAGCTTCGAGCAACTCTAGGGCACTGAGGCTTTGGTGTATTCAAGTGGAATGAGTGGGGTGTGAGCAGGAGATGCAGAATCAAGGCTAAGTGAAGCACACCCCGAGGAACGGATGAGATGAGGCACGGAGAGAACACAGGGTGAGAGACGGCGGGTGGTAAGGGCCCTGGGTCACCTTCACTTAAGGGGCAGGAAGAAAGGAAGCTAACAGTACACAGAGCTGGGCAGGAACAGGAGCGAGCCAGGCCACATAAGCTGAGAGAGGCTGCGGGAGGGGGGCAGGAGGAGGAGGTGGCCATGGCACCGGAAGGCAGGGTGTCCTTACCGCCAGCTGTGCCCCTCAGGGGTGGGGGCTGCAAGCAGTGTGCAGGGGCCAGGGGTGAACGCAAATAGCTGGAGGTGAGGAGACTCTTGGCTGTGAAAGAAAGGAGGGAGACGGATGCAACTCCCGGAGAACAAGTTTCCTCCTGCAGGAGTGAGATCCCACCAAGTTGGGAAAGTGAGGGGAGCCAGACGGTGGTGGAGACAAAGAAACTGAAGATCCGGGCTCTGAGCGGGGCCCTCACTGTGCCCCGGGGTCCTCGCCTTTCAGCCCTCTTCTAAGGGGTGTTCCTTCCCTCCTGTCCTGCCAGAACTGAGCAGGAATGGGCAGGTGGAACAAGACCTCTGCCACTGTCTGAGAGCTGGTTTGGTTAGGGTTCGATGCAGCCTGTATTATCAGGAAATGGCTCATACAAATTTCAGAAGACCACTCAACTAACTGGGACCCAGTTCTTCCATAGAATTGAGGAGTGACCTCAACGACGTCCTCAGCCCCACAGAGGCAGTGCTGCCTGTGTCCTGCAGCATTGCTGAGGCCCGGGAAACCCCCAGAGCTGGAGGGAAGCCCGGCCATCCAGCCTGCTGGGCTCCAGGGCACCTGAGGCCACACCTCTTGTCTCATCCTCAGTGCAACACGTCCGGGTGGTGCCTACTTGAGACCTAATAAAGCTTGTACTTGCCAAAGTACAAGATAAGAAGACATGAGCTAACATTCATATTTTGGTATCTGTCTCTTTTCATCTTCAATCTAGCTTCTATTAATTCACAGAATAACTTTTCTCCTAAGCCATTCACAGGGTGAGATTTCCACATTCTCTTTAAACAACTCTGCGCTGGAATTCATCTTCACATTGCACCCAAAATAAACTTACATATTAAAAGAAAAACTGTCCTTAACAGATCCCATCTTTTTTTATGTCTCTGAATTAATACTTTTTACAACTTATGAAATACATACTTTTTGGAAAAGAGGGCAAGGTATCTGTCTAGACATGGTTACAGGTGCTCCAGTGCTTGGCACATAGTAGGACTCTGTAAATATTTGTTGAATGAGTGAGGAGTCAAAAGCAAATATTCAATGAAAAAATAGCAAACAGTCATTTTGGCAAATAGGTGAAAACAGGCTGAGAATGAACTGGTCAGGCACCCATGTTCTATAAGCAGGATGTAACTAAACATTTACTTGCTCTAAGCCAGACTCACCTTTCAAATAAGTGCTGATCAAAATAGTCTTGCTGATTTCTGAGATTAGTACCTGTCAAAGCTGAAATTCAGGACTCTCTACACCAGCCTCTGCTGTATAGTAAGTGTCTGAAAATCCAGACATCTGCACAGACCCCACACACACATGTCAGTGTCTCCCTCTTCATCTCATCAAGATTTCAGAAGTCAAAACTAGACTGTAAATTCGAAAATCAAGTGTTGCATTCTCCCTCCCCAAAGAGTCAGGAACCTTTGCAAACTGAGCCGTGAACTTTGGCCCCTTGAAAACACAAAGGTGAGCAACTCGAAGGAAACCCCAGATGAACCCCACTCAAAGCCAGGGTGGCCTGATGACACGAGCAGGACAGCTGGGCCGTGAGACATCAACACGGTCAGAAAACTGCAGCTCAGGATTCAGCAGCAGCCAGACAGCTGCGGGCATCCCGACTCACTTGTGGAAACGTGGGTAAGTCTCCCATGTGGATAAGGACATTAGCTCATGTCTCTTGGTGTTTTCCTTAAAATAGCTACACTGCATATAGTTTACCTATTTTATTTAAGTGCAATTTATTTTTCTCATAAAATAATGCCAAGAAGCTGATTTTGGGCTAAAATAGTATTGGAAGAGTTTAGCGTTTAGCAAGGGAAGTCAGGGCCTGGGACTCACTCCTCCCTGAACTGTGATTTCAGTCCCTGGACCACCCACCAGGGCTTCCTTCAGGAGGGGGCCTTAACGTCTCCCAAAACACTGGTCCCTGAACCCCTTGCCAAGTATTCACTCAATAAATAGATACAAAGAATCCAGAAGTATTCAGGGTAACAAGAAAAATAAAAATACTTACTATGAATAACAGGCTAACTGATCTCTGTGTGTGTGTGCATGTAAGGACAGACTGGATGAAATGGGAAATGAAATTCTGCTTAAAGACTTGAAATTACATTTTTTAAAGAGAAGTAGAATCTTCAGTACATTGGTATGTACAGGGATATTTATTGAACCTTGCGGGCAACCTCAGAGAGCTGGAAACAAAGTAAATTCCCATTGATGGGGGATGAGTAAAATATGGTATATCTACACCACAGAAATTAGGCAGCCAGTATGAAGAGTTAATTAGAATATACCAGTTAACTTAGTGGGATTTCCAGAAGTATTCTTGATTGAGCCAAGACGTAGAACAAACATGCAGTACCCTCCTTGTCTGAACAATTACTCAAAAGCTATGTATGCTGTATACAAATATCCTTTTCTCTCCAAATCATTTCAATCTTGAGTCCCCAGAGCAAGTTCAGATAATGAGATTTCATAAAGTGAAGGATACTGGCATATGCACAAATGCATGTATGTATATTTAAATCTGTGAATCAGTAAACAGCATTAGGAGAACCCTCATTTTTATATTTATAAAAGTATCTGTGTAAATACATATAATATACTTCTATATAAAACTTTCAAGAGAAGAAATGAACCAGGTGAACTGTTTTAACTGTATCATTTAGTTTCTTCTGGTATTTTTATTCCTGTCAAATAAATGGTATCTATATATGAGATAAGGTTTGAAATATTACATGCATTGCATGCATTACTGTCCTCTTAATGACCCTCAGGAGGTGATGTAGGTGAGCAACATGGTCGTCCTTGAGGTGAAGCCGCTTGCTTAAGCTCACAAAGCTCAGCCCATGGGCCTGATCTGCAGCCTGAGCCTGCTTGACTCCAAAATCCTTTTCACTACACAGGAGCCTCCTGGTGTCCTTGTTTCTCCCTAAGCCGTACAACCTTCATGGACGAAGAGACAGAATGAGTTCCAGCAATGGAAGCATTCTTTGCTGCCGAACACTGATGACTCTAATCATTAGCCACCTCAAGTCCTGGGCCCTGGGACTGAGAAGGTCTCAGGATTCTCAGTTCTCAATACTCCCGCACCTCTGCAATGGAGGCAGCGAGCAAATCTCACACCGGCAGCCACTAAGCCCTTAAGTTGGAGAATCCCAAAGCTGAGCTCATTGCACCTGTTGTTTCATGGCTCAAGAACGTTGACTAGGTATTCCCTTTGCCTTCAGAGCAGAGGTTCTCTCAGCAGCATGCTGTGGCTTCTTCGGTAGCTTTCCATTCCACAGCATCTGGATGCAGATTTTTATTAGACTGAATCTTTGCACCCAGGGTTGGCCTGAAGAAATGCAGGAAAAGGAAAACTGTACCGAAACACATGCAGTGGAAACCACTCGAGGGAGCCCACAGACATACTGGCATCTCCTCCCGAGCACCAGGGCAGGTGTTGTAACAGGCCTGGCTGGCGTGGGATGTGTGTGTTTTTAATCCAAATGATTCACTTCCAGCAGCATGCTTTATAGGCACTGTTGCAATTTTGCATTTGCCCAAGAGCTTCAGTGGTTTCAGTTTGCGATCTCTGTCAAAACCGTGCAGCGCCTAGTGAAACCCAGATCTCTCCTATTCGTATAGGCCTTCCCCGAGGGGACTCTCTTCTCAGAAAGCCCAGAGCTCTTTCTGCAAGTGGATGTTCATGGGACACTCCCAGGACCTCTGAGGAGCAAGTCTGCCTGTGGTGCAGAAAGGGGCCTTTCCAGTCAGGCAGAGAGCAGCCAGCCTGGATGTGGCTACCAATGGATCATGAGGACAAATCCAGGCTGTACCAGTCTTCAGCCTGACCTTGGGAGCTCGGAGCACCAAAAAGTGGGGAAACCCCAACAAAGATGAGTCACAGCCTGATTTAGCTAAATCCTCAGGCATGAAGCACAGCTACACGTAAACAAACCTGATGGCAGAGATTCAATGAAATAATGTAAAACTGGTGTACAGGCTGGGAGATGTGGTCTCTTATCCTGATTTAATAAAGTGTTATGTCCTCCTGGAAAGTGACTGGTTTCTGTGGCCACCATCCTCTCATAGGCTGGGGTGACGTCAGATGCGGGTTGCCTCCGGCTCTTCCATGTACTGTCATTGCACGTCCCTCCAAGCTCCAAAGTCTGTTTATGGGACGGGCCGTAACCGTCCATGATGCTGGACAGGTCAGAGGCCTTTCTCAAGCCTGACATAAGTGATCTCAATAGTCACAGATGCTCCATCAGCTGAAAAAGGGCCTATCAACTTCCTTCTGAGCTGACCCCAAATCACCCCAGATTCACCAACCCTGTGAAGCAAAATCAGATCCCAGGGAACACGACAAATCCAACATGCTAACTCCATTTCCAAGTTGATTTTATGTCCTCTACTAGGGTGTTACCTTTTCCTCTTTAAGGCTTGAGACCTTCAGCTTGGTTGAGGGGTGCTGTCATTGCTCCTGCCCAGCCTGGGCTGGGTTTCTCCGTGCAGGGCATCCTCTGCGGCTGCACAGGCGGCCCGAACCTCAGAGTCTCACGGCCAGGTGGGTCCGCCAGGCCTCATGAGCGACGCTGGGCCATCCTTCCCGAGCCTCGCCCGCACGGCACACTGTGCAACTCCAGCACTTCTCCTGGGCACCTGCTCTTTGCTCTGCCCCCGTCCTCTCTCCTGGTTCTGTCTCATCCCAGATGTCCTTCTCCCACACAGGTGGGTCTATTCGCTGCCCTAAGCAATGTCTCCGCAGCAGCTCCTAGTTGAATTTTCAATTGTCCTCATAACTCGAAACCTTCCAAATCCAGGTCCAGACCTGCCTTCTCCCTGCCAGCAGGGAGCTTGTTCCCCTTCACGCTGGTTACTTGCTCTATTTATTCATTCAACAAACTTTTACTGAGGGCCTGCAAAGTGCCAGGCACTCTTCTAGCTAGAGCCAAACTCTTCAGCTGGCCCTTCATCACACACTTGTAATAATTTATAATAAACAGTTAACGTGCACCCCCAACTTGCTGCTCCAAGCTGTGGGTGTGAGAACTGCCAGTGTGTGGGCTGCTTCATCC